ATAGATGCTGATCCCTTTTCTCAAAGGCTATAACAATTCCCATTTTTGCAAGTAATGTGGAGAAATGTTCCTTTGCCCTCCCCTCCGCCCGCAGGTATTCGCTCTAAATTTTCCTGTCTGATGGATGAAAGTGGTATCTCATTTCTAATTTGGATTTACATTTCTCCAGCTACAGCTGAGTTTGATATGTTTTCCTCTGTTCAGAGGCGTCTGATTTTGTTCTTCTATGGTTTGTTTATGCATGCTCTTTTTGTTTTTTTTCCTTATTGTATAAACTTGCTTTATAAGATAGGTAACTTTATAAGATAGGTAAATAACTGACTCCTATCAGTTATTTGCATTGCAAATTTTTGTAAATCTTGACTATGTTGTCACGTAAAATGTTCAATTTTTATTTAATCAAACGAATTTCGCTTTTAGTTTTCCTCACTTGGTTAAGGTCTTCCCTACCCTAGATTATACATGTGGTCTCCTTGATTTTCTTCAGAGATTTTTGTTGTTTAAAAACATTAATTTACCTGAAATTTTCATGTAACGTGAGAGGAATTAACCTTTTTTCCTCCTAACTTCCATCTCCTTCCAGATGAACAGTCACTTGTCATTCCCTGTATGTTAAATAAGTTCTTCACTAAATCGAAATGCCTCCTTTATCATATATCAGCGGCTTTACCATACATTTAGATTTTTTTTTACATTTGTCTTTAATCCATCTAGAATTACATAAAATGTTAATTTTTAGGGAAAGCCATTAAGTTTTCCCATCCCAAAATGGCCTTACCTGAGATTTTATACTTTTCTTCATATGTGTCCTGTGTCTTGCCTTATTACCTTTTCCTTAAATATTAAAATTTTTTTTTAATGTTTATTTATTCTTGAGAAAGAGACACAGAGCATGAGTGGGGGAGGGGCAAAGAGAGAGAGGGACACAGAATCCGTAGCAGGCTCCAGGCTCTGAGCTGTCATCACAGAGTCCGATGTGGGGCTTGAACTCACGAGCCGTGAGATCCTGACCTGAGCCGAAGTCGGCCGCTCAACCGATTGAGCCACCCAGGCGCCCCTTTCCTTAAATATTTTCTATGTTTTGTAGCCATTGTGAGTAGAATTTTTCCTTGTATTTCTATTTTTGGGTACTAATTTCTAATGTAGAGAAAAGCTATTAATGTTTGAATATTTTTCTTGTATTAAGCCACCTTACTCTATATTATAAATTTAAAAAAATCTATTTATTTATTTATTTATTTATTTTTTTTAATTTTTTTTTTTCAACGTTTATTTATTTTTGCGACAGAGAGAGACAGAGCATGAACGGGGGAGGGGCAGAGAGAGAGGGAGACGCAGAATCGGAAACAGGCTCCAGGCTCCGAGCCATCAGCCCAGAGCCCGACGCGGGGCTCGAACTCACGGACCGTGAGATCGTGACCTGAGCTGAAGTCGGACGCTTAACCGACTGCGCCACCCAGGCGCCCCTAATGTTTATTTTTTATTATTTTTTGAGACAGAGAGAAACAGAGCATGAACGGGGAGGGGCAGAGAGAGAGGGAGACACAGAATCGGAAACAGGCTCCAGGCTCTGAGCCGTCAGCCCAGAGCCTGACGCGGGGCTCGAACTCCCGGACCGCGAGATCGTGACCTGGCTGAAGTCGGGCGCTTAACCGACTGCGCCACCCAGGCGCCCCAAATCTATTTATTTTTAAGTAATCTCTGCACCCAGCCTGGGGCTCGAAGTCACCATTCGGAGATCAAGAGTTGCTGGCTCTTTTGAGTGAGCCAACCAGACACCCCTCCCTATTTTCTTACTAATTTAAGTAGTTTTCTTATTTGAGTCTCTTGTGTTTTCTAGGTATTCAATAATAGCGAAAGAGCAATAGTTTTATCTCCTTATTTTCAGTGGTTAAACCAGTTATTTCATTTTCTTTGGTTGGAACCACCAAGATGGTGTTAATGGTGATATATCCCTTTCTAATTGCCGATACTAATTGAAACGGTTTTAACGTTGCACCTTTTGGAATGAGAATCGTCCGTGTTTTTGATAGATTTTTATCGTTTATTGTAGTCTTCTGTTCCTTTTATTAGAAACCATTATGGAGTTTTAGATGATTTCAGCATCTACTGATAGGATTGTATCGCTGGTATAAACATTCTTCACTAAGGGAGTACATCAGAGTTCATTATGCCGTGGAGGTGTTTGGGTGCCGTAGCCCTACCCCTGGTCCTTTTCCCCTCTCCTATACCATAATGCCTTCTTAAGTGGTACAGTAACACACTCCAGATGCTTTGTCTTTAGGGTTTGATTATAATTGTAAATGCTGCTAGAAATTGCGATTCAAGTCTGCAGAATCTAAAAGTGAAATGCTATGTACCATTTATGTTGAGAAAATTGTTTTCTTTTTAGTACTGTCACCATGAAGTTTTGGTATCAGTTGTGTTGGTTTTATAAAAAACTGATATTTTTTTTTCCTGCACGGAAATAGCTTGCATAGCGTGGTAATTATCTGCTGCTTGAGATTTAGGAGAAACTGGTCACAAAAGCCTTAAGGGTCTGCTGTGTCCCCCCCCCCCCCCCCCCTTTTAATGGTATGTCTTTAACAGGCTTTCAGTGTGTTCTCTACTTACTGATCCAGTCAAGGATTTTTCTTCTGTAATCAGTTTTGTCAGATTTGGAAATGATGTGTTTTGCTATAGAAGTCACTCGTGTTTTTGTATCAAGTGTATTATGAAGTTCAGTCTCTGACGGGGGTTTTGTTTCTTTTTGGCATCCACGTCTCTGGGCATCTTTTTCCCTCCTGCGTGGTCTTTAAAACCTAAGAAATCTGATCATGACATTAAATGGTGTGGTGGCAACATGGAGCATATGACAGCAGTCTTGAGCATTCTGTGAGGAAAGGGCCTTGTGCTCCTGTAATCCTGCCTGACAGCCGTCTTGCTCAGGCCCCCCAACAAAACTGCCCCAGATTAGCCTCATCTTTTTTATATGTCACTTTCTCGTTGTGCTCCTTTAAACTCCTTATTGTTATTCTGTTAACTAGGATGATCCTCAAAGAAGAAAAACCCACCCGAAAAACATAAACCAGAAATACAAGGGGTAGTCTGTGTTGAGAGGTAATCAGACATTAAAATGATCCCTGGATTCTGGACTTTCTCAGAATCTTGTATGTGGTTTTCCCTTATCACAACACAGAAGGTCACACTCTGCTCCTTCCAGAGTACTTCATATTCCCAGATTGTGGTTTTTTGTTTGTGTTGTTTTTAATTTTTGGATAAATACTTTTTTTTGGTTTGTTTCTCACCCATGTGAATATAGATCTTCTATCTTACTGATTTGGAAAGATGTATAGGTTACATTGTTAAAGGAAGCAAGTCCCATCGTATGTGTCATGTTTTATTTAAAAAACAGCTGTAAATATATGAATGCTTATACAAATATATGCTTATAGATTTGCTTATACAAATAAGCATATAGAAACATATGGAAACTTGTACCTTGCTGAGTAGGTTGCAGGGAGGAAACTACCATTTTTTAATTACACATTGCTGTATTACTTACACGTATTAGTTTGGTAACTTGAGAAAAGTTCTTTCAAAAACCTCTTGATCTGGTTTCATCATTTCAGTTCACCCTTTTCTTTCATAATTGAATGCAGTCAGCCACCGTAAATGTGGCTCACAGTAGATAATCAAGATAATTACCTTCTGGGGGCGTTTACCTTTAGTTTCATCCCTCTCAGTGTTCTTTACTGTAGGGCCTGTGTTTTGATTAGTTTTAATGTTTTCACTCTTTGGTTTTCAATTTTTTTCAAGGACAGAATGTAATAGAACTGGTTTCCAAACTTTTTTTTTTCTTTTCTTTGTCAAAGCACTGGGCTTCTTTTTTTTAAAAAAATGAAATCTTACTTGAGTGCCCTTTGAAACAACTTTCATGGACCTGTAGTTCTCAGAGTATACTTTAAAAGCCACCATGATGTGGGGCGCCTGGGTGGCGCAGTCAGTTAAGCGTCTGACTTCAGCCAGGTCACGATCTCGCGATCCGTGAGTTCGAGCCCCGCGTCGGGCTCTGGGCTGATGGCTCAGAGCCTGGAGCCTGTTTCCGATTCTGTGTCTCCCTCTCTCTCTGCCCCTCCCCCGTTCATGCTCTGTCTCTCTCTGTCCCAAAAATAAATAAACGTTGAAAAAAAAAAAATTTAAAAGCCACCATGATGAAATACTAAGGTAATTGTATAAGTAAATGCCGACAAAGACGGTGTTGCTGTGGACGTGAAAATTCGGAGAAGCAGGCGGTAATCATGCCATCCTCTGTAGCTCGAAACGTTTGTTATTCCCATGTGGATGCAGCATTTCATACAGGAAAAGCATTCAGGGGTATTGGCACCCAAATGTTGTATGCTTAAGAACTTCATATAGAGAATTGCATCTTTAATCAACTACCAGATTATGCTACAACGTAAATGTCATTCTTAGGAAGGTAAATGGTCACTGCTGGTTGGCTGCTATTAATGAGGCTTTAGAGAGTTCATTGGATAAGAGACGTTTGGCAGACTAGATTTTTTTAAAGTTTGTAGTTAAAAATAACCATGATAACCCCATTACCAGTAAACCCCATTATGTTTATAGGTAACATTTTTATGAAAAATAACGATTTTCTAAAAAAAAAAAAAATAGAATAATAGCATGGTTTTACAATTTTACAAATTGTCTTTAATGCTTGCCTAAGTAGAAGTTGGCAGAATTCTCGCATCTACTTTTGCATTCACTCTGTTGCAATATCACTGATTGGGGGGCCTCAGGACAAGTCATCTGTAAACGTAAGCGATATTGAGAGTAAAGAGTCAAATGCCATCTTGGTTTGATAATGAAAATAAGTGTGACCCCCTGAAGTCCCTGGCCCGTCCAGGCAGCTCCCCGTCCACGCTTTGCGAACCACTGCATCCACCAGCCCTAAGCGGGGAGGTCCTCCACGCAGGCCGTGCACATGCTCCATGAACTCTTTCTTTGCTTTGTTGCAGAGTCCTTTGGGCAGAATTATCCAGAGGTAAGAGTATAGTATTACTGTGAATTTAGGAATATGGTAACTGGCTAGCTTTTGTGTTTGGGTGGAAAATGTAGTTTGATCCCCTCCCCCCCCCCCCCTTTTTTTGGACAGCATTAACTGTGGTGGTACCTCTTTTGCTATAATAAGGAACTCGGTGCTTTATTTCGAGGAGAGGGGAAATAGGCAGCATTGGTGGAAAACCTCACCATAATGTTGTAAATCTTAAATAGTTCATTTCCCAGTAAATTAAAAAAAAAAATACTTGGAAGGATTTTTCATAAACTGTACCATCACCTGTACCTAGATTTTTTTCTGTGTTTTTCTACTTTGAATCAGTGTTTTTGCATAGCAATAACGTGTGTGCTCCAAGTGTGCTTTACACTTTTTTAAATGTAAAAATATTTTGTAATACTTGGAATGCGTTTCAGTATAGTCATTATGGTTTTAGTCATTATTTTAGTCATCATAGTCGTTATTTTAAATGGCTTGATAGGAGTATAAAATATGTATTTGACTTTCCTGATGTTGCACAGGCAGGCTGTTCTAGTGATTTTGTTTTACATTATTTTTCTTGAAATAAATCTCGAGAACTATGATAACTGGGTCAGTACCATGACTCCTTTAATGAATCTTGTTATATTTTGCCTAATTGCCCCTCACAGTGTGCACAGAGTTGTACTGGTAATGTATGAGATTTATTACATCTGTTTCTAAACATTCTCTGTTAGCTTTTATAAATATTTCCTTGTTCTGTCTAGCTTAATAAGTGTAAGAACACATATAGAGATTATTTTGGTATATGTCATAATGTAAATTAAACAGAAGCGTCATAGATGAGAGAGAACCTTGAAGAAATAATTTGGTTATTATGGGGTATTATTGTGTATATTCTTGTATTTGTTTTAATTTTTAGGAAGCCGATGGAACTTTGGATTGTATCAGCATGGCCCTGACTTGCACCTTTAACAGGTGGGGCACACTGCTTGCAGTTGGCTGTAACGATGGCCGAATTGTCATCTGGGATTTCTTGACGAGAGGCATCGCTAAAATAATTAGTGCACACATCCATCCTGTCTGTTCTTTATGGTAAGGAATTTTAACATGATATGTGGAATATGAGTTGAGTTAGGGGGACGAATGCCAGCTGTGTAATTGCCAATCTCACTTTACTAGATATTTTAATATTTAGAGTTTTAAGTATTCATTCATTAGTAGTACCGTTTCTCCTAGTGTCTGTAGACCTTGAACCCGTGCTGTCCTCGAAGCACCTTTGTGGGGGAGAGACTCCCTGTACTTGTGGATCCAAATCAGGCCCTGTCTGAGACTATTTCAGGACTGAGATGAGATATTTACAGATGGCGGCTGTAGTCCTGTTTGTGATATTGACCTTTGGTTTAGAATAGAAAATCTTGATTAGGAGGGAACCTTGGAAATCCTCTTCTGCAGCTTTGTCCAGGTTCTTGAGTTCCAGGAGTTCCACTGATCACTGTCTGTTCCTTCACTGAATTGTAGTTCAGCTTTTCTATCAAATAGATTGAGCTAAAATGTAATATAAATAAATGCCCATTGATTTCTTTCTTCCCCTTGGAGACTACCGTATCTGCTTTGGAAGGTTTTGTTGTAGGGCACCTCTTCTTCTAACGGAACTTGGGACCCAAAACAGTACCTCATCAGATCTTTTTTTTTTTTTTAATTTTTTTTTTTTTTTAACGTTTATTTATTTTTGAGACAGAGAGAGACAGACAGAGCCTGAACGGGGGAGGGTCAGAGAGAGAGAGGGAGACACAGAATCTGAAACAGGCTCCACTCTCTGAGCTGTCAGCACAGAGCCTGATGCGGGGCTTGAACTCAGGAACCGCGAGATCGTGACCTGAGCCAAAGTCGGACGCTCAACCGACTGAGCCACCCAGGCGCCCCAAGTACCTCATCAGATCTAATGGAACTGTGACATATTTCCTTTTGTGTAAATGGAAGTGGCAGCGACATTGTAAGGCCCTGGATGGTGGGGAGGCCTGAATCCCAGTCTAGGTTTGACGGCCTAATGAACTAGCTTCGGCCAAAACTTGTCTCTACTATGCAGAATGAGAGGACCAGCCTGCATGATCCATTAGAGCTTTTCCATTTCCTTTGCATTTCGTTTTTTTCTGTTGTTGTGTTTTGCAATATTGAAATAAATAAATGCGTATGTTTTTAATAGCTTGATTAAAATCTATATAATTCACATACTATACAATTCACTCAAAGTGTACAATTCACTGGTATTCTTTTTCTTTTAAAGTTTATCTGTTTATTTTGAGAGAGAGTGGGTGAATGAGCAGGGGCAGGGCAGAGAGAGAGAATCCCAATCGGGCTCCATGCTGTCACTGCAGAGCCTGATGCAGTACTTGAACTCAAGAACCGTGAGATCCTGACCTGAACTGAAACCGAGTCAAGACACCCAACTGACTGAGCCACCTGGGCGCCCCCAATTCACTGGTTTTGTATATATTCACAGAGTTGTGCAGCCTCATCCCAATCTTAGCACTCCTACCTGTTAAAAAATATACATATATTTTTATTGTAAAATAATATATAATCATGTAGAACATTACGGAAAATATAGCAAAACAGAAAGAATTAGTGTCTCCCATAGTACTCTGTTACCCAAGTATTACTACTGTAAAGATTTTAGTATGTTTCTATATATAGTTTTTTTTTAAGTATATTTATTTTGAGAGAGAGAGAGTGTGTGTGCACGAGTTGGGGAGGGGCAGAAAGAGCAGGAAAGAGAGAGAATCCCTAGCAGGTTCTGCGCTGTCAGCGCAGAGCCTGATGTGGGGCTTGAACCCATGAACCAGGAGATCACTACCTGAGCCAGAATCAAGGGTCAGATGCTTAAGCGACTGAGCCACCCAGGAACCCCACTATATATGGTTTTTAGAGAACAGAATTTGTAATTGTAATGTATTCTCTTTTATATTTTGCTTTTTTCCTCTCTAACCCTGTCCAGACAATTTCCTGCTTACATAGCCTCTAAACACTTTTTTTATGGCTATATATGTTCTCATGGATGAACTGTAATTTATTTAACAATTCTTTGGTTCTCTGCTACATGTTTAGTGAATGTCTTTGTGCATAAACTTTTTCACTTATATATTCATTCATTCAGCAAACACTGAACATGAATTACGTACCATGTGCAAGTACTGAAGCTTTATGGGTCCTATACAAGAACTGTATTTGAGATTTAGTGGAGGCAAAGGAGGAAATGACCCATGTACTGAGAACAGTGGTCAGGAAAGGCTTCCTAGGTGACATAATTCTAACTTCAAACCTGTAAGATAAGTAGGTATTTGCCAGTTGTAGTCCAAGCAGAGGATGCTGCACAGGCACAGGTACATCAGCTTCAGACAAGCACAGGACGATGGGGAACTGTAGGTAGTTCAGGATGGCTGGATTGTGGTGCAGGGGATGGGGTACGGCAAGAGCCAGTAAACAGATCCCCAAAGAGGACTCTGTGTGCCATACTGTGAGTTTGAACTTTACCTTGTAGGTAACCGTGAAGTCATTAAGATATTGTAGGAAAGAAAATGACACGATGAGCTTTTTATTTAAAAAAAAATTTTTTTGTAAAAAAAATTAAAATGATTTTAAAAACCTCTATAAAAAAGCACGTGGAAAGGGATGCCTGGGTGGCTTGGTTGATTAAGTGTCTGGCTCTTGATTTCAGCTCAGGTCATGATCTCGTGGTTCATGAGTTCGAGCCCCACATTGGGCCCTGCGCTGACAGTGCGGAGCCTACTTGGGATTCTGTC